CCCTCCTCGCCAACCCGGCGGGGGTCGTGATCCAACAAGGGCTACTAGCCAGCGTAGATTGGGGGATTAAGAGAATAAGTGAAGAATCCACGCATGAAATCCAGTCGTTTCAGTCTAAGGGCAACACTCACTCAATTACGGCGAGGTACGCTGAGTGAGCTCGAACAGAAAGCAACTAGGTGGACTGGGGCATGTGGACAGCGGCGACGGAATTATCGGTGCGCTAGGAGGTCATTAACTGACTCTAACACAGGCAGCCTTGACTTCGCTTGCTCCAAGAGTAGTGGCCATATAATGTCTACCGGAGCAGTCGCAGGGGCTACTGTCATAGAGATAGAGGTGGCTTCAGAACACAGACAGCCGATAGACATGTAAATTATACATACTGTAAGCAAATATATTTATTGGCAGTTCATGATCCCCTCGTTATGTTGCCACTATCGAGCCACTAGTAGGCCTGCTAGTTCTCAATCTCTCAACACGCTAGTAGCCTCGCTGTCGCTCATTTGCGACTGCTTAATCGCCAGATCCGAGAGCCTGCTCCAAAATCCGCTACATTCGAACGCACTGTCACCAAACGCAAACTTAACGACATAGCCTGGTGTTCGTGTGACCAGAAAAACTCGTATAATGACAAAGTGCGTAACAGGGGCTCACCTGATCCCCTCCGTCGAAGCTTCCATGTTCAAGAGCAAATTGGAGAAGTTTTCGGTACTGTTCGAGGTTTGGAGTGAAGACGAACACGCCAGTGTTAAAACAGTCTGGCCATCCAGGATCAGGCGCGGCACTGAACTCCTCGCGTTCAAAGAGGTCATCGATGTTTTGGATGACCTAAGTACGGAAGAAAATATGTGCGTTGGGACATTACTAGGGGTGGATGACTAGTACATGTAACCATGGGCTACTTTAGCATAAATCATCGGGCTACCGATGAAACTACTTGAGTGTGTAGCAAGCGGAGACAAATAGTAGAAAAAAAAGAACCCTAAGTGTAGGGAAAACGTTTGCTTAAACAGCCTCTCACAACCCAGTTGGGTGAGAAGCTGCCAAAACAAAACGTATTTAAAGAAAAGAAATATATGCATAGGCCTTGTGAAATAACTTGGACAACAGACAAAGTGTACAAGTGAAACTGAACAGCAAAGCAGGAATTAATAGATTCTAGGTTTCACAACAAAATAAAAAAGCCCAGACAAAAAAGGAACATAATTAAATAGGATTCTTATCTCCTAATGCGATAGATTACATGCTGTGGGGACCAGCAGTTACCAAATCAGCAAAACCATACAGACATTTGAGTATTCTCTGCAGTCCGGCATTCAAAGTCTGTTAAATGGGCTACGCTCTGGCATGAACACTACGCCTTAGAAACGTACACAAACAACCAAGCTAGTGGCACTAAGAAACTTAAGAACTGCCGAGATGAGGCAGTAACCGAAAAACGAACACATCAAAGCCCAGAGATTTGAACAGGGGGT